GCCGGGTGAGGCTAGGCTATTGGGAACAGACTTGGTGCAGGATGCTTTAGAAAAGGTGAAGGTATTCGGGAGAGGCTTCGTACAGTGCAGTCGAGGCAAAAGGGTTATGCCAACCGGAAGGTTCGGGATGTGTCCTACATAGTTGGTGAGAAGGTTCTGTTGAAGGGTTCACCCATGAAGGGTCTTATGAGTTTTGGGAAGAAGGGTAAATTGAGTCCTCGGTTCATTGGACCTTTTGAGGTGCTTCGAAGGATTGGAGAGGTGGCTTATGAGCTTGCTTTGCCCCCAGCTTCTCGAGTGTGCATCCGGTATTTCATGTTTCTATGCTTCGGAAGTATATTGGGGATCCATCTTATATTCTGGATTTCAGCACGGTTCAGTTGGATGGTGATTTGACTTATAATGTGGAGCCAACAACTATTTTGGAGCGTCAGGTTCGAAAGTTGAGATCAAAGTATATAGCTTCAGTGAAAGTGCAGTGGAGAGGTCAGCCTGTGGAGGAGGCTACCTGGGAGACCGAGCGGGAGATGCGGAGCAGATATCCTCACCTGTTTGAGGCTTTAGGTATGTTTCTTAACTCGTTTGAGGACGAACGTTTGTTTAAGAGGGGGATGTGACGACCCATCCAGTTGTCTCATGAGTTACCGCTCTATTTTCCCCATTTCTGCTTCTTATTGCTTTATGTATCGATTTTATGTGTGATCAGGTTGGTTGGCTCGGGTTCGAAAAAGATTGGTAAGGTTTGAGATACTTAGTCTCTTTTGAGGAAGCTTAAGATGGAAAAGTCAATTGGATGTTGACTTATGAGTTAGAGGGCTCAGATGTGAGTTCTGATTGTTCGGATAGCTTCAGGAGGTGATTTGAGACTTAGGAGCATGATCGGAATGTGTTTTGGAGGTCCGTAGTAGATTTAGACTTAAATTGTCGAAATTAGATTTTTGGCATTTTCCGGTTGGTAGGTGACATTTTGATATAGGGGTCGGAATGGAATTCCGGGAGTTGCAGTAGATCCGTTGGGTTATTTAGGATGGGTGTGCTAAATTTCAGGTCGTTCGGACGTGGTTTGGTATACTTTTTGGTCAAAAGCGTAATTCGAAAGATTTTGGAAACTTAGGCTTGAATCCGATATGTTTTGGTTGATTCGATGTTGTTTGGGGTGTTTTGAAGATTGGTACGAGTTTGAATAAGGTTATGGGATATGTTTGTGTTTTTGGTTGAGGTCCCAGGGGCCTCGATGTGATTTTAGATGGTTGATGGAGAGTTTGGAAATTTGGTTTGGCAGTTGAAGTGTGGAATTTGCTGTCATAACCGCACATGCGGCTAGGGGACCGCAGGTGCGATCTCGCAGAAGCGATTTAGGAATCGCAGAAGCGGAAAGGGGCTAGGAAGGCTGGAGCCGCAGAAGCGGTTGAGGAGCCACACCTGCGATAGCGCAGGTGCGGAAGGTGCATCGCAGATGTGAAAGCTGGGGAATAAGTGAGAACCGCAGAAGCGGCATATTGGACTGCAAAAACGGTACCGCAGAAGCGGTAGATGGGGCCACATATGCGAAATGCCTAGGCTAGAACATATAAATTTATTCCTTCGCGATGTTTGAGATATTCCACCATTTTTAAGTCGGTTTTTGGAGCTTTTTGGGCGATTTAAAGAAGGATTTCAAGGGAACTTCATTGAGGTAAGAATTTTGGACCTAAAACTCGTTCCTATGGTATTATTTCACGGATTAGAGCTATAATTGATGGAATTTAAGGATCAAAGTTTGGGGAAACTAGACTTGGGGATTTAAGGGACCATTTGTAGTCGGATTTGGTACTTTTGATATATATGAACTCGTGGGGAGATAAGGAATCTATTGATGTAAATTTTATCGAATTCCAATATGTGGGTCCGGGGGTCGGGTTTTGGTAATTTCGGAATTTATGCTATAAATTGATTATTTTCGCTTGGGCTTCGTTCCCTTAGCATATTTTGATGTCGTGATTCTGATTTTGGATAGATTCGACGCGAGTAGAGGACGATTCGAGGGGCAAAGGCATCGCGGGCTAGAGTTTGGACCGAATTGAGGTGAGTAATGATTGTAAATGTTGTCTTGAGGGTATGAAACCCCGGATCACACATCGTTATGCTATATTTAGGTGACACACACGCTAAATGACAAGAGTGGGGTCGTACACTATTGGGGATTGTGACTCAGTCCATCCCGAATGACTGTTTTTCTGCGTAATTGATTGAAACTATTTGCTATCATCATGTTTTAGGCTGAATGCCATATTTGGGTCTCGTGCTAACTATTTGTACCCTTATGGGATTTTTACTAATATTTCCTCACTGTTTTGACTTTATACTTGTACTCAGTCATGCCATATTCTACTATTTTCATAACTCAACCATGTTTACTCTACTTTAACACTTAAAATAATATGTTAAATGATATTTTGGGCTGAGCATCATGTTTTACTGTTGTCCGAGTGGCTTGTGAGATTCTGACTAAGTAAGGTCGAGGGCCTATGTTGTGAGGAAACACTGATTATGATTATGAGGCCGAGGGCCTGAGATTTGTATGCCACGAGGTGGCTTGTTGATATAAGGCCGAGAGCTTATGTGATTATGCCACGAGATGACTTGATATTGCGCTTGGGTCGTAAGAGGCTCCTCCAGGAGTCTGCACACCCCCAGTGAGTGCGGGTACCCATTGTGATGTGAGATATAGCCTGAGGGGCTGGTGTTGTTCTATGATATTGCCCAAAGGCCAACCTTTATGTGTTTATCTTTCCTAGTTGCCTGTCATTTACATGCTTAATTGTTAAAAAAGCATTTCATGAAGTTTAAACTGAACTAAAATGACTTTACATATCTTCACTGATTCACTGTTTTTACTGGCTTTTACTGCTTCATTATAGCATGTAATGTGCCTTACGTGATTTCATATTTCTCAGCCTTTATTTACTGCACCCCGTGTGCAGATTCAGGCACTTCAGGTCCCGCTAGTGAGTGTTGATCCTTCCAGCTCAGGCGGATTCAGAGATTCTCTAGGTAGCTGCCGGTGTTCGCAGCCCAGAGCTTCTTCCCTTATATTAAATTCTCTGTTTTAGCTCTATATTAGACTATGTAGACTCTTCACACTTGTAGTATATTGATAGATGCTCATGATTGGTGACATCCCGATGTCGGGCCGTGTTGTTTCCGCAAATTATATTATTCACCGTATTTTGGGATTTTATTATGTTTAATGACTTAATTTGTACTACTTTAAATTTCTTAAAATGAATTGGAAATGTGTCGGCTGACCTTGTCTTCACGAGAGGCGCCATCACGACCAGGTCCGGGTTAGGGTCATGACAGAAGACAAAATAACACATTTATTTCATCTAACACCATTTATTTCAACTAACACCATTTATATCAACCAACACTATTTATTTCTACCAACACCATTAATTTGCCAAAATTGAACAAAAAAAAAGCCGCTCAAATTTGAAATATTTTTAGGACTGGGTTGGCCCCCCATATATAGTCACATACTCAAACCCTAAACTATGAAAAATACACTCACCTACAAACCCTAAATTATGGATGCCTCTCCCTCTACCAAACGAGATCTATCTTACTCTTCTACTAGCAGTGATAATGAAGAAAAGAGTCCTCCAACATTTGAAGTGGTTATGACTGATTCATACATCAACTACGACGATCTGGTAAATTATTATATATTTTAAACATTATTTCTTTGAATATTACATAACTTCTTGAGTTAATCCTAACTGATTTTTTTTACATAAAATACTTTTATTTCTTACACCTTAACTCCAGAAAATATATATGCGCTAGTATTGTATATGTTGATTCAGTTTCATATTTTCCGAAACTTAATAGTAATGTTTTTTTAAAGTATATTCCTAGAAAAATACAAGCATCTCCCTCTAACAGTGGACACCGCGCTTCTTTACTATCGTGGCAATTGTGGTATGTAAATATGAGTGTTGGTGATAGAAGAAGGTTCAATGCATGCTAGAAACTTTTTGTTTTGGACAATTATGTCAAGCGAGGTTTCATAGTCAAATTTACGTTGGTTGATATTGCACCACTATATGTTGACTTCAATGTTGAATTGAAGGGAGAAGGAACTTCTGATAATAATTCGGTTGAAATTGATTAGGATTTTTGTTGTGTTTTTCTATCCCTTTACTATTTTTTATTTTCATGTATGTTGATGTGTTAATTTTATGAAATTACAATCGTCATATTGGTCTTCTTTACCATAATAATTTTCTTTTTTAATGGAATGTTTAGTAATGCTTTTTTTTGTTAATTCTCCCTTACGGTGGCAGTGTCCTTTATATCTACCATTTCAATATACAAAAATATTGAAAGGGAAATAAAGAGCAAAAATACAGAAGAAAATAATAATAATAATAATAGTAATAATATAAAATAATAGTAAATGCTTCATAGGGAAGTTAAATAGGTTAATAATGTATTGTAAGATCTAGTAAATGCTACATAGGGAAGTTAAATGGGTAGATTTTATATTCAAAGAGGAACGATTACACTAATTTTACAATGAACTCTTGGAGTATTTGGTTGAAGTTAGGGTTAGAAATTGGTTGCAGTTGAATGTTGAAATTTTCTGGGGGAAAAACGTGCAATGTAAGGGTTGAAGGTAGGGATACCAAGATAGGTGTTGAAGGTAGGGTTTTAAGTTGAATGTTGAAAGTAGGGTTGAAGGGTAGAGTTTTAATAACTGAATGTGAGTATTTTAGTTCTTAGTTTGAACTGATTATAATGTTCTGAAGTCTTTCACGATTTGTACTAGATGCAACTAATCACATTTTGCTAGTCTAGTCCTCTAAACTAAAATGAAGTAACAATAAAATGAAGAAATATTTAACAATGACAATTATAATACCATACGTTTAAATTATTACAAAACAAAGTCAAAAAATTCAAAAAATTCTATCTCAAATCAAATTAAATAAGATTCAAACTTAAATCATCTCAAGCTAAACGGTCAAGTCTTCTATTTCCCAATTTGCTTCATCGTTTAGATCAGGCAAACTACTATGTGGTGGTACTGTTGCATCATCTTGCTGTATAGAGTAAATAACACTAATAAACAATGTATTTTTCGAAAAGAAATATAATATTAATTTGTTATACTTTACCTCTATTCCTTCCGCTAACCCAGTTTTTCCACCACCTCTACCACCACCTCTACTACCACTTCTACCACCACCTCTGTCAACACCTCTACCACCACCTCTACCCCTCATATTACCTCTAACTCCACTTCCATCACCTGTTTGTGAACTTCTAAAGTATGAATCAATTCGCCCTCTATATCTGTTCANCACCCTCACCCTCACATTCACCCCCACCCTCACCCTCACCCACACCATCATGTGTATCTTCCAATATCCAATTTGGAACTATCATATGATCATCATCCCAATTCAAAAGGTCACGCTCCAATATGTTCAAATGATACTTAATATATCGCCTCATCACTTCAGTGTCCAATGCAATATCACAAACCTATTCAAAATGCTTTAATAGTTCCCTGTACATCATGTATTCAGAAGTCACACGTGGGTAAGCTCCAAGAAAGAAACGTTTCAAGTGCGGAGGAACAATATTTTTTCTCCACCTTCTCAATATATACCTCTCATTAACGTTTTTAATCCTCTTATGAGACAACACCTTAAGTATATGGCATCATAGAATACCTCTTATTTCAAACCACTTGCAGTTGCAACTTAGATATTCGCCAATAGGTGTATATTCAACCGTGAATACAAATGGATCTCTAGTGTTAAAACTCCTGAATGAATAATCTGCGATAATGTAATTCTCCACTCCAACTGTTGCTTGATGGTCTTCAGGGGTGCTGATTTCACAATGGTACAGTTTCCTTAACTGTACTTGAAAAAATTCAAACACTTCACGAGTATAACATGTTTGAAATTTTTCCTCCCATGCAAATTCAGATAAACATTTTGGTTCAAAGCACCTTGGCTCATATTCAGCTTCCAATTCTTTCTCGAACTTAGCTCCTATGGCTACTCATATTGCTGAACAAATAGCTTTAAAGTGCTTTGTCGGGTGATGAATCCGTCAAAGAAAGCATGCATTCCTTCACTTCTTTGTGTGGACAACATCCCAGCCCAAAAGTGGTAATTTAGGTATACATGAACTCATTTCTCCTTCTCCAAATAAAGCTTATAAAACCAATCCCTTCCATCTAAGTTATATCTTTTAATACAATCAGTCCATCGTCTATCAAACTTACCAATGTTAATGCTATCAAGGACTAAAGCCTTAAATTCTGCCTTTGCAATCTTATCATCAAGAACTCTACTTAACTTCGTAGGCAACTTTGCGAATATGTGCCATATACAATATCTATGTACCGTATTTGGCATCAATGCATTGATGACAGCCTTAATACTATCACATTGGTCAGTCATGATAGCTAATGGATGAACATTGTTTTGAGCCCCAAGCCATGTAGATAGCACCATTTTGTAACTTGTTATATCCTCACTAGACATAAGAGCACATCCCAAAAGTATGGACTGCCTATACTGATTGACACCAGCAAATGAAGCAAATGGCATATTGTATCGATTCACAAGGTATGTGGTATCAAGGCATATTACATCATGGAACTCCTCATATGCAACTTTAGAGTGTGAATGAACCCATACGACATTACGAAATTGACCAAAACTATCCACATCTACGGAGCAGTAAAATTCCCTATCGTTTTGTTGCATGTCACTGAAGAACTTGAGTAATGATTGTGCATCCCCTTCTTGCAACTGAAGCTTTTTACTCTTCAAAATATAATTTCTACAGTCCTTTGGTGTACAACCCAGATTTTCGGGGCCACCAACAAGTACTTCAGCGACTCTTATATTTTTTGAGGGTCTTAAGCCAGCAATATCTTTGACTGCAAGAGTTCTCTTAAGAGACTTACTAAGCGATCTGTGTCCAACCATCAATCGCGATAGTGCTGGTTCCAATTGATGATTATGTTTTTTAACCACATTTGAAATACGCCATGAACCATTCTCCTCCAAAATTCTATTTATTCTAGCACGACAGTTCCTCCTCTTGGTAACATGCTTATTCCTTGGTTTCCTTGACGTATCACAACCATATTGCACATAACTAATAATATCACCAACTTTTTTATTTGATGTTCTTTTGACAATGCAAAACCCCGGTAATCTTGCATGTTCTTTGTAAAAATCAAACATAACATCCTTACTACTGAACCGCATCCCAGTAATTGGACCAATTATGAGATCTTCTTCATTGAACTCATTAGGCATTTCCCTGTCCTCTCCAACTTCTCCCCTTCCTCTAAATAATGGCCGTCATCATCATCATCATCATCTTCATCAGCAGCATCGTCAACATGATTTTATCCATCATTGAAGTTGCCGTCTGAATCAATGTCGATTGACTCATCTTCGTTCATCAAACTGCCGTCCGAATTCAACCCCAATGATATGTGTAATGCATTCTTTAGTTGCTCCGACCTAGTTTCTAGGCTGTTATTTGGGTTTAATGGATCCAAACTAGTTTCTAGGTCAGCATTCATGTTTAGGTTAAGGGAAGGGTGGTGAATTATGTATTTAATGAAAGCTCTCTTAACATAAGTATATGGTATGACAAGGAATAACGTATAAATGAAAAAACAATATTATGTATACATAATAGACTTTTGATCTTCCCATCCGAATAAATTGCATTTAAAAAAAAAATACATAATTGTATTTAAAAAAACGTAATGAGAAAATATACGAAGGCTGTCATCCGTATATACGAAGGTTTTTTATCTTCCTATGCATGAGAGAATGATGATTTATGGGATCAATGTTTTGGAATAATCAAAATTTATTAACTAATTTTGGAGGGAAAAATGGCCATTAAGTCAAATGTGAAAATAAGGGTTTTACTGGTATTTCACGAGTTTCATTGTTGGGCCACACTGAGTTTGGCCGAATAGCAGCACTCTTTGGGAAAAACCTTTACATTTTTCTTCCGAAGGCAGGAAAACCTTTTCACATAGACGGAGACCACTAAGAGGATGTTTGGCTAAGCTTATAAGCTGGTCAAACTGGCTTATAAACACTTTTTGGCTTATCTGCGCGTTTTGTAAAATTAAAAACGCTTATAAGTTAAGTGCTTATAAGCCAAAAATAAATCAAAAGTCATAAGTTGGTCTCCTCCAGCTTATCAAATTTCAGCTTATAAGCACTTTAAGTTTGACCAAAATATTTACTATTCTATCCCTAAAATACTTTTTTTTAAAACAAAACTTTCATATACTCCATTTTTCAGCTACATATTATTAATTTCAACACTTTTATTTAAACACATAACTGCTTATTTTTTAAATTAATTTGAGCATTTAAAAAAGATACTTTTCATCACACCTAATGGTTATCATGCTTATTTATCAGGTACCCTAAATCAAAATCAGCTAAGCCAAACGGGCTCTACATTGAAAGGGCCAAATTTCTGTCGCTTTTTTCCTCTCTAGGGTTCATAGAGAGTGGTCGCATTCAGTTCCCGAGATGATTATGAGGAAATCCATTATTAGTTTTACTATTCGGGTACGCAATTCGACCTATCAAATATCCGGGGAAAGGTAATTTGTTGGTATTTTCTGCTTTCTAATCGAAAGAGATAATGGAAACATCAACAAGTAAAGCTAAGATTTGCGGCAGTACAAGTAAAGGGATCGATAGAATAAGCGCTTTACCAGATGATGTACTCCACAACATCCTTTCATCTCTATTTATTTTTGATGTGGTTCAGTTGAGTGTACTGTCTAAAAGATGGAAATACATATGGACTACTATGCCTTACTTGCACTTTGATTTTGATAAATTTTATTCAGAACGGCTCAAACGGCTTTGTAATATGGAAATGACTGAGAAATTCAAAGATTTTATCAATTGGGTCTTAATTTCCCAAAGGGCAACTATCTTGTCCGTTTTGTTCTCATTGTCGATATCTACGGTATCTTTGATAAAGTAGATATTTTTCGGTGGATTCATGCTACAACAAGGCGAAATGTTCAAGAACTTTTGTTAGAATTTTGTCTTGATGAGCCATTTGAGTTACCATATTGTGTTGCATCTTGTGAATCTTTGCAAGTTTTAAAGCTAAACTTGTCTGGGGACATACTCAAACTGCCTAATCATTTGGGATTTTGTCAACTGAAATTGCTCCATCTTGAGAACGTGGAGTTATCAGACCAGCAATTGACAAATTGTTTGTTCTCAAAATGTCACCTCCTCGAAAATTTGATTTTACACGAATGTAGTTTAGGAGCCATGACACTACTTGATATTGCTTCAACATCTCTTATTTATGTTACTTTTGGAACTGACTATTATAATGTGGAGAGTTATGGCGATTGTGAAGTCAAAATTTGTTGCCCCAATCTCAAGTTCTTAAAATATAAAGCTCCAATGCCAAAGGATATAATCTTTGAGAATCTGTTTTCAATAGAAGATGTTCGTATCGTCTTTACTGATAGGATCCGCTCACTTGAAGAAACTGGTATACTCGTGCATAAGATGATCAAAGAGGTTCCTTCTACATCAGTTTTGAAGCTATGCAAGGCTTCCTTTTCGGTAAGCTTATCTCTTTAGCTTAACTAGAAAAGGAATATTGGAGTACTGAAAAGATATACAACGTAATTACATTTTTTGAATACTTAACTATATATTTTTTGACATAGAGTCTGACTACTTATTAAAAGTATATTTACTGTCTAAGTATTTATTTAAAAAAATACAGTCAGTATTCTAAGTCGTCTGGGGAACTTGTCGGTAGCTTTTCATATTAGTCTCTTAACCAATAAATTTTTCACTTCTTACTTTCTTAGTTATCGGGAAAAAAAAAATATTCTTATTTGCTGCTGCAGGGTCTGTATGAAGCGAATCAAAAGGAAGACTCTCTCGCGTCTCCTTTTATAAGCTGAAGTCCTTAAAACTGAAAGTGGGAATTGATGAAGATGTTATGCAAGTCATGATGTTATTGCTCAAATATTCTCCTAATCTGGAGGTTCTAAAATTGTGGTCCGAGGTAAAGCTCTTCATCCTTTCCCGAAATCTGCGTAAAAATTCTGTTTCTTTTATATGGTAGTTGGTCGTAAGGACTTGTAAGTTTTGTAAAACTAGAAGTTGATTAACATGAAAGGATTCTTTCAATAACTGAAGGTGGTGAATTTACGCTTGAAAACTGACGTCACTAAACTTTCCAAGGAAAAGTTCACTGATAATTGCAATGTCATTGTAACAATGCTAAACTGTGAATATATATTCGAGTAAAGCAGAATCTAACAAGCAAAATTCCTCTTACCTAAATGATAAATATGCCACAATGAAAGAGGTAGACATGACTAGTCAAGAGTTTTAACTTTTAACATCCACCTTGGGAATTGGCTGCTAGAATTGTTTACTCATGCCATTGATTTAATCATGTATGCTGCATGAATTTAATGGTAAAATGGATTTGAACCGTGAATTCCAGTGGGGAAAGTTTAAGAAGTACTGAGATGATGCTACAACTTTAAGGAGCATTAAGTTAATAAATGAAGGAGAAATTGTAAACGTGGCCCTGAATGATACCTTGTTAAAAAAAATTGCCAACAACCGTATACTCTAACTTTGGTTCTAAGCTGAGGTTTACCGGAGAGGGAGCTTACCCGTAGTTCATTTCCCTCGTAAAAGAAAGATGCATAATTGACAGATTCTGAAATCAACTCAATTCGAAGCTAGAACTCTGGAGATGTGTGTTTCAAATCTTCTCATGCGCAAGCAATGTGGTCTAAAGGGAGCATTAGTATAAATTCACTTGGCTTAATGAGGGGATTGCTAGTTTAGATGACCTGAGATGAGCAAGATGTTCGTTAGATGGATGGCATGGTTTGAATAGCAGGTACCATACTCTGAAATACTAACAGATCACTGGAACTTTTAATGCATCTGTGATGCCTAGGGGGGAAATAAAAATTCCAAAGAGAAGGAAATGGCTCAAAACATTTTGGAAGTGAATCTTGTTTGACATTTTCACTTGTAATGGAGGAAAATGGTTGCTTACGCTGCTGAATGATTGGTTATTGTTATTTGTTGTTGTTTCAATATAAGTGTTTACTATTCTCGATCAAGTGGTTACTGGTTTCTCCTCTGACTCTCAACTGTCTGCTAGGATGAATTCTGGAGTGTGAATTGGAAGCTGCATGATCCTGATGAAAGCATTGTATGCTTGGAATCTCATCTAAAGTCAATTCAGTTGAATGGTTTCAAAGGTCAACAAAACGAGATAGAACTACTAAGGTTTTTTCTGAAGAATGCACAAGTTTTGGAAAAGCTGACGATTGTTTGGGACGAGTATGCTTCTAAATCAGAAAAGGCATCAGTTGAGGTTTTGAAGTTTCCTAGAACGTCTTCACACGTTTTTCTGACATTTCGTGGTGCCAAGCCCAAACCAAGTTCTCCTAACTGGTACACTAGATATTAAAAATGACTTGACCTGGGAGATCATTATTCTATTGTTGGATGTACTTTTATTGAAATTGCTCTTAAAGATCCAAGTCAGCCATACTAAATAAGAAATTACATGAGGTCTTGATGTTTATGAAACTTCTCTGGCTGTTTTGCGTATATGCTTGAACTGCTATAGAGTAACTAGGAAGGTCATGTCTTATTTCTACTGCAAGGTAAGCAGGATGTGGTTAATTTCTTTTACAAGTGTCGAAGAAACAATTATGATGCTTCAGCAAAACCAATGTTTCTGCAACCACTTTTTATCCTCACACTGTTTGATCTGCGATCAATATGGACTTCATAGACACACTTCCTAATGTTTAAAGGGAATGAAGTTGTTTAGGTCATATTTGATAAGCTCAGCAACTATGCTTTCTTGTCCCTCGCCCGTCCTTATACAGCACACCCACTAGCTCAAATATTCCTGGACAACATCTTTAGCTATATGGAATGCTTGCTGTTATTGTGAGCGGTAAAGATCCAATTTTCATCAGCTCAATCTGGAAAGAGTGTTTTTTCTGTTAGGAGTGCAACTACACACTTGAAAATATCATCCTCAGTCTGAAGCCAAACTGAGATCCTCAACAGGCATCTCATGGCTTATTTGATGTGTTTTTGTGTTTTTCTCCTCCTGACTGGGTTCGGTATTTTATTCTAGATGAATGATGGTAGAATACCACATCTCATTTCGCAATTCAGTTAACTTCTTTTGAAGTTCTATCTGGTCAACCTCCCCCCAAAGTCCAAACTCATTTGCCTTACTTGATTGGTGATTCTACTTTGGAGGTGCTCGATATTTCACTTACTCAAAGAGAGCTTAAGTTGCAATTAATTCTTACATTTCACTTGGTAAGGTGTCATCAAAGAATAAGGTAATTAGAAGATAATCACACATCCGATGGGCAATTTCATGTGGGAGATTTTGTTTGTTTGTTTTTGTGTGTGTTTTCCTGAAGTAGCAGCACTATAGACAACTTTACCTTGTTCATAAACCTGTCCACAAACTCACTTTTAAATACTTTGGATCATATCATGTTGTTGCTGAAGGAGAAACAAGGGCCTACAATTAAGCTTCAACTTCCTCAACAGGTGCATAGATGTCCTCTCTCTCTTTTTTTTTTTTTTGTGTATAACTTAGTTGAAGGCCATTTTTTGCTCTCTCTGCTCATCTAATTATCCTCCTATGGTTGATTTAGCTCATCCACCTTTTCCCAACTACTGAGGCTGTCCTATACAGGAGAATAATCAAGAAAAGGCAAAGGCAGTGGGCCCACGTGTAACGACAAGGCCGGTCGTTTCGTGAGTTACAACCTCGTTCCCCATTTTTCTGCTTCATTTGTGTTCTTCAGCTGTATTATATCTTACCGGGTCAGTTGGTTCGGGTTCGGAGTGGTTTTGGAGTAAATTGAGACATTTAGTCTCTTAGGAGAGTTTAAGATGGAAAAGTTGACTGGATGTTGACTTATGTGTAAACGATCTTGGATTTGAATTTTGATGGTTCCGTTATCTCCGTTAGGTGATTTTGGACTTGGGAACCCGTCTGGAATGTGATTTGGAGGCCCGTGGTAGAATTAGGCTTGAATTGGTGAAAGTTAGAATTTTGGCGATTTTGGTCGACAGTGTAAATTTTGATATCGGGGTCGGAATGGAATTTCGAAAGTTGGGAATAGGTTCGTGGTGTCATTTCTGACGTGTGTGCAAAATTTGAGGTCATTCGGACGTGATTTGATAGGTTTTGGTGTCGTTTGCGGATTTTGGAAGTTTAGAGGTTCTTAGGCTTGAATCCGAGGGGTAATTTGGTGTTTTGATGTTGTTTTGAGTGATTCGAAGGTTCGACTAAGTTCGTATAGGGTTATATGACTTGTTGGCATGTTGGGTTGAGGTCCCGGGGGCCTCGGGTGTGTTTCGGGTGGTTAACGGATCAAGTTTGAAGTTTGGAGAATTGCTGAAGTTGGCCTGTTGCTGGTGTAATCGCACCTGCGAGGGTATTGCCGCAGGTGCGGAAGTGTGTTGGATTGGGGAAGACCGTAGGTGCGACTGGTCGTACGCATCTGCGAGCCCGCAGCAGAGGGTAGTTGCCCGCAGAAGCGGGAGAGAGGAGGTCTGGCAGTGGCCGCATGTGCGAGGTCTTTTCTGCACCTGTGAGGTCGCGAAGCGGATAAGGAGTGCAGGTGTGGAGATGGGGATTTAAGTGGTTTTCCGCAGATGCGGAGATTTTTGCGCACAAGCAGCACCGCAAAAGCGCATATTGAGCGGCAAGTGCGAAAAACCTAGGCAGAACCTATAAATAGAAGACTTTGCGAATTTTTGCTCATTTCCACCATTTTCACGAAGGTAAGTTGCTTGAGCTCTATTATCATTAGCTATGGTGTTTTCATGTTGATTTCCTACCTAATTAGTAGGATTATTGAAGTGAAATAAGGGGGTTAGGGCTTGGAATTTTGGAGAGGATTATTTCGGTATTTGAGGGATCAAATGATGTCGAATTTTGATGAAATTGGTATGGGTAGACTCATGAGTGAATGGGCTTTCTAGTTTTGTGACTTTTGTTGGATTTCGAGATGCGGGTCGGGTTTAAGTTAATTTCGGGATTTGAGACGAATTTAGTAGTTTTCTGGTGGAATTGGTTCCTTTGACATATATTGATTGTGTTGTATTACTTTTGGCTAGATTCGGGACGTTTGGAGGCCGATTCGAGAGGCAAAGGCATCGCAGAGTAGGATTTTGCTCGGATTGAGGTAAGTAACAATTTAAATCTGGTCTTGAAGGTATGAAACCTCGGACATTATGTCTTGTGACTATTTTGGAGGTGACATACATGTTAGGTGATGGACGTACGGGCGTGCATCGAGGGGATTGTGACTTGGTCCGTCCCGTAGAACTGTAAAGTTGAACAACATGTTGAGGAGATTGTGACTTGGTCCGTCCCGTAGAAATATAAAGTTGAACAACATGCTATTAGCTATATGCTCCCTATGTGTTATGAAAGATCGACTCTAAATCATGTTAGAAACCATGTTTAGGCTATATGTTGGCATCGTTAGGTCCCGTAGGGGCCGCGTTACATGTTGAATTGCCTGTTAAATGCTATTTGTACTCAGTCACAGTTTTTACTCGTATATCATATCCCAGTCTCTATATTCTATCTGATACTTCATGTTATTGCTGTTTGGGCCGATTTTCCTGATTTCTGAGAGCGTAGAGGCTGGAGAGATTGATGACTGAATGAGGTCGAATGCCTGATTGTGAGGATATTAGTGGGATCGGACTGCACGCCGTAACATGTTTTATTGATTTATGACCGAGTGAGGTCGAGGGCCTGATTGATTTGTGCCATAATTGGCTTGTTATGATGCTTGGGCTGAAGGAGCCCCTCTGGAGTCTTCACACCCCTAGTGAGCGCATGTACCTACTGAGTGCGAGTGCCGAGTGATTGTGAGGAATGAGTGACTAGGAGGTTAGAGTGATTGGGAGGACTGAGAGATGATTGCCTGAGAGGCAGTATATGATTACATTATTGATGCTCATAATTGCCTTATATCCATATTTTGAAAACTGTTGAAAGATATTCTTATCTGGTTTTACTTGAACTTGCCTGAAATAAATTGACTTGACTTGAATTATCGAAACTTAGGAAGCATGGCTATTTTCCTTTTTGAAATTATTGAAATGAACTAAAACTGTGTAGCTCGTCACTATCTTCAGTTCCTTATTTATTATTATTACTTACTGAGTTGACGTACTCACGTTATTCCCTGCACCACGTGTGTGGATCCAGGAGCTGTTGGATGCAGAGGTTGTTGATAGTACTCGTAGCTGGTCATTGGAGATCGCGAGGTAGCTGCCGGCGTTCGCAACCCTGCTTTCTTCTTCCCTATCTATCCTTATTTTCTGTATTTTTTGATTCCAGACTATGTTACGTCTTGTTACTTTTGGGTCGGGTATGTTAGATACTCATGACTAGTGACATCCCGATGTCGGGCTTTATTTCCGTACTTATGTTTTGGGGTTCACCCTGTTTTATGGCAAAGATTTCAGTTATTTTAAGTAGGTCTGCTTATCAGGCAGATTGAGCGGTTATTTACTCTTAACGGTTTGGCTTATCGGTTATCGGCTTTTAAATATATTAATTTGCTAGCCACCCGATAAGATATCGGGCGAATTGGTATCAGTTTAGCTCTTATCGGGTGGTTATCGGGCGATTTATCGGCCTAATTCAAAGTATGCTAAATTTGTTAGGAATCAATTCCCCGCAATAAGATTAAGAAGAAAATTGTTAGAACATATGATAAAAAGTTAAAGCAATGTTATACGGGATGAAAACTAAAGCTTCATGCTTAGATAAATGTGTCTAGAACCTACGTTTTGTTGGCTCATCTGAGGAAAATTCCTTGCAAACAACCTACGTTTTGTTGGCTCATCTAAGGAAAAATCCATGCAAACAAACTCATTTAACTTTTCCGTTGTTACTTTTTACTTAGAAAAGGAATAAAATGGTGGGAAGATTACGGCCCAATTCGAAATGAAACGTCAAATGATTTAGAGAAGGTACATTTGGAAAGAGAGCCAAACCTTAAACTCTAAAAAATTCCCGCAAAATTGTCTCAACTTTCGGCTACTTGGCGAGATGGAGACGGTGGCAATGGCGAGAGGGAGAGGGAGACGGTGGTGAGAGGACGAGATGGAGTATGCGTTAGGGTTTCTGTTCTGATTATTTAGGACCCGAAACGGGTCCGTTAAACCGTTAACCCGATACCAATAAGCCATTAAGCTTCGGTTTTCGGTTTCGGTTTGGTTTTGAACCCCTAATTTTAAGAGTTTTGGTTATTTCTGGTTATTGTTGAAAGCGTTTTGGTAATGTCAGCTGGCCTAGTATCATCGCTAGGCGCCATCACGACGGGTCGTGTTTTGGATCGTGACACCACACCTCATCAAATGAACAAAATTTCCTACAGATCCTGCAGCCTCTTGAAAAGTTGGTTTGAGTTATGAGCTTGTTTTCCTTCTTTCTTCCCTAAATGCAGATGGTATTTGCTAGGATGATTTTTGCAGGAGTTAGTTACTAGTCATTATGTGGCTTAGCTCCTTAACAATCGGTTACTATTACAATGTACACATACATTACATGTACAGGTACTTTTAAAGCTGCATTGTAGTAAGAAACTTCACAACCAGATTTTGACCTGCGTTCTTGTTGGTCTTATCTTGGAACCCTACTTCCCTGATAATTTCCCTTCAATTCTCAAGCTTAATTATGCATTAGTTGAATTTTGCATCATACAGAACCAGAAACTAAAACATGTTACTTAAAACTCTTGACGGCATTTAAAGGAAAAGATAAATGGACTCTTCATTAACAGTAAAAATTTACCCTTTAATATATATTCAAGGAAATACCTCTCTTAACCACTTACAATTTGAATAGAAGAATACTATCTCCTATGAAGTGATCACTTAATTTGATATATATCGGGCGCAGATAAGTATTTGCCCTCTATTAACCTACTGCCAGCAAAACCTTATTTTCCTACACATGTATAAATGCATGTCAAATTTCTTTTCATTCATCCCATCTCCAAAGTGATTATCAATTTGCTGGTGTATTACTATTCCTATCTAATTTTAATGTTCTAATGCATTAAATAATCAAATTATTTCGTCAAGCTTTTAAGTAAATTTGTAAAATTGAATTTGTGTTCCTTGCATAAATAATGATAGCAAATTAACAATATTCTCTCCTCTTTTACTTGCAACCTACAGTATGTTGTTTTAGTCTTTTCTGGAACATTTGAAAAAGGTAGTCCCTGTCTAGATTTTTTTTTTTTAAAATAACGAAAGAGTAATCCTATGGCCGTTAATAATAATAATAATACTGAAATTCAGTATTTGTAACTGAGAATATTTCCTAAACTTTAATTTCAAATATTTTCAACTTCAACTGCACATTGTTCAAATGCCTACTTAATTTTGGGAAAACCTCAACAATTTCTTTCTTTTTCCCAAAAGCGGGAAAAGGGAAAATCTTCACACAATGGGACAAACCCCAAATGGTGAGCCTGTCGCTCTTTTCCTCTCTAGGGCTCATAGTGAGTGGTAGCGCCTTGTTCGAAATCCATTCTTGAGTTTTTCTATCAAATCATTGAGGCAAGGTAATTTTGTTGATATTTTTATGATTTTTTGTCGTTCAAATCGGTATATATAATGCAAACAGGGGCGGATTTAGGGGGGCGCAAGGGGTTACCCGAACCCCCTTTACCGAAAAAATACACTGTATATATAAGACAAAATCTGTTTTTTACCTCTATATATTAAGTTTTGAACCCCCTTAACACAATCCAAAAGTGTAGTTTAGTGGTCAAGGGGGTTCAAAATCTACATAAGGTCATGAGTTCAATTCCCACTAACCCTCTTCGTGGAGATTCTGCCTCCGCCACTGAATGCAAACATCAAAAAGAAAACTCAAGATCTCCGGTAATACAAGTAAAGGGATTGATGGACGATGTACTCCACAACATCCTTTCATCTCTCTGTATCTTTGATGTGGTTAAGTTTAGTCTATTGTCAAAAAGATGGAAATATATATATGCACTACAATCCCTTACTTGCACTTTGATATTGATCAATGAAGTGAGAGGAAAACCATTAGGTCTCAAGCTCTAATCCCAACAGAAGCAAAGAAACACTATGTGATTTCTTTTCCATCTGTCAAAGTGTTGGTGGGTAGAGTTACCCGATATATATATGTTGGAGGGAGGTAGGTAACCGGTGGAATTGTTGAGGTGCGTCATGCTTGCAAGTTGGGCCGTACACTACTGTCATAAAAAAAATAAACCTATATTCGAGTAAAGCAAAAACCGAACTAACAAAATTTACTCTCACTAGAATGATAAACATGCCACAGTGAATAAGAGATAACCTCACAAGGTAGGGGTAAGGTCTGCGTACACACTAGCCTCCCCAGATCCACAGTTAGTGAAGAAGAGATATGATCTGTCTAATCATTAATTTTAACTTTTAATGTTCACTTTGTCAGTTGACAAGTATCACCTGTATACTCGTGCCATTGAGTTTATTTATGTTTGCTGCATGAAACTTATGGTAGAAATGATTTGAATGTGAATTGATGTGGGAAAAGTGTAAGACGAACTGAGATGATCATATAACTTTAGGGAGCATTAAGTTGATAAATGAAGGAGGAGTTGCGAATCTGGTCCTTAACAGTATCTTGATTAAAAAAATTCCCAATAATCATAGTATCTAAATATGGTTCTAAGGTGAGCTTGATTTAAATTACCCAAATTAATTCATTTCCCTTGTAAAGAAAGATGCATAATTGATACTTACAGATTCTGAAATCAACCATTGCCATGCTAGAATTTTGGAGATGTGTGTTCAAATATTTTCATGCACAAGAGATGTGGTCTAAAGGGAGCACTAGAATAAATTCACTTGGCTTATTTAGGGGATGCTGGTTTAGATGACCTGATATGAGTAAGATGTTTGTTAGATGGATTGCATAGGTTGAATAGACTATGGTAAGCACCATGAAATATGAACAGATAACTGGAATTTTTAGTGCATCAGTGATGTCTAGGGAAAAAGTAACATTCCAAAGAGAAGGAAATGGTCTAAAACATTTTGGAAGTGAATCTTGTTTGACATTTTCACTTATAATGGTGGAAATGGTTGCTTACACTGCTGAATGGTTGATTATTGTTATTTATTATTGTTTCAATATAAGCGTTTTACTGTGCCCAATGATGTGGTTTCTCCTCTGACTCTCAATTGTGTGCTAGAATGGAGGCTGGAGGGAGAATTTGCAGATGCATGATCCTGATGAAAGCATTGCATGCTTGGAGTCTCATCTAAAGTCGATTCTGTTTACTGGTTTCAAAGGTGAAGAGTACTTGGTAGAACTACTAAGGTTTTTTCTGAAGAATGCACGAGTATTGGAAATACTGACGATTGTCTGGGACAAGCATGCTGATAAATCAGAAGAGGCATCAGAGGATGTTTTGAAGTTTCCTAGAACTTTCAAACGTTGTTCTGAAGTTTCTTGATGCCAAGCCCAAATCGTGAATCCTGTTTGAAATTTATCTTTTAACAGAGGAATATTTGCTTACACTGCGACAATAGATCCTTGTGGTTTGGCCCTTCCCCGGACCCCGTGCATACCAGGCTTCCCCCCACTGCTGAATGATTGCTTATTGTTATTTCGACATAAGATTCTATTGTGCTTGATTAAGTGGTTTCTCCTCTGACTCTCAACTGTTTGCTAGATTGAGGACTGGGGTGTGAATAGGCAGCTGCTTGATCCTGATGAAAGCATCGTGTGCTTGGAATCTCATCTAAAGTCAATTAAGTTGACTGGTTTCAAAGGTGAAGAACACGAGATAGAACTACTTAGGTTTTTCTGAAGAATGCACGAGTATTGGAAAAATTGACGATTGTCTGGAACGACAATGCTGATAAATCAGAAGAGGCAAATGAGGAGGTTTTGAAGTTTCCAAGAACTTCTTCACACGTTGTTCTGACATTTCTTGATGCCAAGCCCATACCAAGTTGTCCAAAATGGTACAATAGATATTAAAAATGACTCGACTTGGGAGAGGATTATTCGAATTTCTGGATGTACTCTTATTGAGATTCTCTTCAAGGTTCAAATCAGAACCGAACTGTATAAAAAATTACATGGAATCGTGATGGTTATGAAACTTGTATTGGCCTTTCTTGTTTGAACTGCTATAGAGTAACAAAGAAGGTCATGTCTTTTTTCTATGGTAAAGTATCAAGCAGGGTGTGGTTAACTTCATTTAAAGGGGTAGCACGAAGCATCCTGCATTCACGCAGGGTCCCGGGAATTGCTGCATCCCAAGGGGTTACAAGTGTCAAAAAGACAATTATGATGTTTCAGCATACCAATGTTTTCGGCAACCCCTTCTTATTCTCACATTGTTTGGTCTGTAATCAATATGGATTTCATAGAAACATTTCTTGATGTCTTTTGCGTCATAGTTGATAAGCTCAGTGAATATGGCCATTTCTTGTTCCTTGCTCATCCTTATACAGCACACTCTCTAGCTCAAATATTCATGGACAGCATTTTTAGCCTATAAGGACTGCTTGCTGTTATTGTGAGTGGTAGAGATCCAATTTTCATTAGCCCAATCTGGCGAGAGTTTTCTTCTGTTACGGTGCAACTTCGCATGTCATATTTTGTCCGATGCCAAGCCAAGATCCTCAACAGGTGCCTCAAGGCTTCGTTGACGTGTTTTTTTTTGTGTTGATTCTCCTCGTGACTGGGTTAAATACCTTCTTCTAATTGAATGGCGGTAGCTTGATGCCAAATTTTATTTTGCAATTTGTTAACATGTTTTGAAGTTCTATATGGTCAACCCCAACTCAACTTGCAAATTCTTACATTTCACATGGCTGGGGGCCAACAAAGAATTAGGTAATTAGATCCGATGGGCAATTTTATGTGGGAGAGTGTGTGTGTGTGTGTGTTTCCTCCCTGAAGTTGAAACACTTCTGCAACTTCCCCTTGTTCATACAATGTAATCACAATGTACATACATGTGCAACTACTCGTAAAGCTCCATTGTTAAGAAATGAGAAACCACACAAGTACATCTTCTATACTCTTATATTTTAATCTTACATTGCATTCCTAGTTCCATGATAATTCCCTTCGAATCTCAAGCTTGATTATTCATTTGTTGAATTTTGCATCATAGAGAAGAAGAAAAGAAACGTTACTTGAAACCCTTCTTTGAATGTTATAAGATAACAACACTTTTTATTTTAAGGAAAAAATGTAAAGGTATTCCCCAAAATTAAGTGAACAATATATATATATATATATATATATATATATATATATAAAGTGTGTGTGTGTGTCTTGAAGTTGAAAAAAATAGTATTAGAAGTTTCAGAGTTGAGAAAAATATTGTCAAAGTATTGAAGTTCATTCACGCCCAACAAGGACTACTCTTTCAAAGGCATTAGAAATGTAAAAGGGATAGTAAAAAAAGAAATGATCAAAACATCAAGTAATAAAGGAGAGAAGGTTGTAGATTTTTAATAATTTATTACCTGTTTAAGGAAGATTGATGAAATATTATTACCTAATCAATTAGAACTTTGATGAAATATTATAATGTCGTAAATAGAAAATCACCTAGTAAGTGGGATGAGTAATAAGAATTTGATATACGTATACCATCATGTGGTAATAGGGTCGGGATCGGAAGTCTTCAATTTGAATCTTGAAAATGGAGAATTTTTTGGTAGGAAGCCTTGGGTTCGCGCCAAAAATTATTTATATTTGATAGCCAAAAAAATGTATAAAATTGCATAATTTTTGTATATGACATACAAAATATGTATATATATACAAAAAATATACATTTTTGAGTTATTATTTTAAGAGCGGCATTATAATATTATTTTTCCAAGCATTTACCCCTCAATGGGCCTAGTCGACACGAATCCTCTTAAATAACAACAATTGAATTTCCTCCGCTTTAGGTTTTTCAGCAACTTAAACCTCAAATTGAAGAAGAACGAAAATGCTTCGCATACCCAACTGCTTATACACGCACCACTTCGAAAAAAATCTTCAACCCCCTTTTCCCTGTTCAATTTCCCCCAGACTTCTAACTTTTTTATTTTATTTCTATAAACTCAACTCATCTGCCTTCTTTTTGTATTTCTTCTTTCTCTATGCTTATACAAATTCCGTTTCCTTCGACGCCAATGAAGACATCCAAAGAACACCATCACCCGACCACTGTTTCAGGTATTCACTCTATATTTATCATTTACGCCTTACTCTTATATATTTGACTCTTTCTAACTTGTATGAACCCTAATCTAATTGTATTGGTGTGGACAAACAAGTATGCAAAAATACATCAAAGGCATGAGGTACAGTCCAAACTTTCTTCGCTATTATTTTTTCCCTCTAAATCAGAACTTATAATGTCAATATTCAATGAAAGTATACTTTTGTTCCCTAATCAATAACTAAGGATGTACAAATTCTAAAATAGTTTCAAAAAATCCAAAGATTCGTAACTACTATGATTTTTTCATAATTGATACTAACTGTGTCGTTGATATGAAGTTGAAGAATGTTATATTACTAATAATTTCTTTTAGAACAATGTCTTTAAATATTCTACAATACTATACTTTTTTCCCTAATCAATAACTAAGGATCTAAAGATTCATTAAATATAGAGTGTTGCAATATTACCACTATTATACTTTTCCTGCTCTACCTTCTTGTGTTATGCTTGAAGATCAATACATGAATTTAACACAGAAGTTGTAGAAAAGGAAATAGGTGAAAGAAAGGAAATGTAAGAAGTAAAATCATTCTCTGGTAACTACATCCCTATGGGACTATTTTAAGGAGGTTGATCCTTAATCAATTAATTTATTAGACCGTGAATTAAGTATATTTGTCTTTTGTCATTTTAATTGTTCGGAGAAGATACGNTATATATATATATATATATTGCTGGTCCTCTCCTTGAGGTACATTACCACTGCATAATTCAAATCATTGCAGAAGCTGATTCAGTCTGTGTTTGAGCTGCCTGGTGACTTCTTCTATTGCAGGCATTTATATTGGTTTTCCCTGACCTTGCACTACAGTCATTAGAACCAATATGTCCGAGAATGTTGATTCCGGTGAAATTTTTTCCTACTGTTTTTCTTCTTCTTTTTTATTTGGATTTTACATTGTTTATCCTGAGATTGAAATTTATGTGTTAACAAAAAAGTGTGAAAAAGGAAGGAAAAATGAAAATAGCTTCTGAAATTGGTGTTTGCAGCATATATAGGTTTTATAATGATATTGAAGTATGCTTAGTATGTTAAAAGTGACATAATTTTTTTTGTTTCCATTATGTTTATACTTGCCTGTAACCTGAGGTATATGGAGATTCTTGATCAAACTCCATGTTGAAATTGTACTTATATGGTCGTCACACAAAGGAACAAGCAAAGTGGTAGAAAAGAGAGGTTGAACACCCTTCCCGCTTTCCTTCTCCGAGGAAAAAAAAGTATTGTGCCCAACTCTAATTGATATTGTTCTTTATTCGTGAAACTTATATAATTATTTGAATCTAAGAGATATATTTCTACGTCTCATATTCTTGATTTTTCTTCATCTTTAGGTTGATATGTTTGTATCTTTCGGTCATTTTATTGTCCATTTTGTAAGATTTACTTAATCTTGAATGTGTTCACTTAATAAAACTTTCATCTAACATTTATGCATGGATAAAATGACCCGTCAATTGTTCATGGACACATAATGAGATAACGATGTTGCTTTTCTCATTTGGATATGTAATGAGGTAAAATGTTACCTTTCTCACACGGATACATAGTGAAGTAAAGATGGTGCCTTTGTCATTCCAGATTGAGATGAGAACTCTGAAATTGGTTGGAGTAATATTTGAACATTTTGAATATTCATTTTAAGTAAAAGAGCGGACACTTGGACGTTTCTCTTTGTTAGCACTTTTTTTTCTCAGAATTTATTTTGTTGGATTTTGGGTTATGATAGTAGACTTTGCTTTGTAGATACCATGAGAACGGCGGGCTATTCTGATATCATTGTTTTAATACACGTCAAAAGGTAGTGGTGCTAGCAGCAAGTATTCCAGTTGTTTATACAAGAGTTGATCCTGGACAACGTCGTGGTTATATGTTGTGATAAATTAGAGCTTAATTAATCATCTCTTTATTTCTTCATCCTTCGCTTGAAACTTAGATATCATGAGCTTTTATCGAAGTAGCGTCACAAACCTTTTCATGAATGTTATTTATTATATATTTTTTGGACCTTTTTTTGCCTTTTTCACTCTATATTCTGCCCCTTTAAAGATTTTTGGTTCTTTTGTTTTCCCTTTAACCTTCTTAAAGTCTTCCACATAATGATTGCCAAAAGTTTAAACTGAAAAAGAGGCAATTAAGTATTTTGGTCTTTCGCTCAGCTATATTTTATTTTTAATTCTTTTCAGATTTTGGTGTGTGTCCTATGCCTCTTCATTTTTATTAGCCCATTTTATGTCCATCCTGCATCCTTTTGCTTTTTTCTTTATTTTCTTCTCAGTGTGTATTTTGATGGAATCAGAAGGTATCGAATTTTGTGGGATAAACTTTGAGATGTATTTACATTGGGAGCATATTATTTATCATGCGAATGGTAATTCTTATATGTTCTTGAATATGGTATGATCAGTAAGTGCTCCGCTTCAGTTGGAATTAGTGTAAGTATGATGTAGTCCTTTTAACTTTTGTTGTTCAATTAGTTTTGATTGTTATTTAGCTGTTTCATGAGCATTAGAACTACTATCGATGTTTTTTTTTCAAAAAGACTATTTCCTATTGTTGTTTCAGATTTATTGGAGAAACTTTGCTGTTGTTATTTTATAGGAATACAGAAGGATCAAGTTTTAAGTATGGCGAGCATTTGACATCAAACACGTAAGTTATGCATCTAAACCTTTTTATATGTGCTTATGTGACATAAGTTTCCTTCTTTTTTTTTCCCTGAAATATTTGAACACTTCTATAAAATGGAAAGATCCATGCATCATCATGGATCTGTTTTAGAATTTATGCTCTTCCACTATCTTGATTCGTTGAGTTTAGTTTCTGCTTATGTATTATGCTTATAGGTTTATGAATTTGCTCTTTCTAATTCTTATTATAGTGTTGTTACTATCTATAGCACCATTACGACAACATATGTTGTTATTAGCTTCTGAGAATTTTCAGTGGTGGCAGACTTCATTTTCTCAGTGGTCTCTACAATTGTCTGTCTTCCTGTGCTCGGTATATTACTACTATTATGTTAAGGCTAAGATGTCAAGGTTCTTCTTTCCCAATTTCTACTTTAGATGTGTATAGAATATTAAATTTTATCTTGGCTTAGGATTTTTTTACAGTGAGTATATATACAAGTTCTATTTAAACCATTTCTCTCATATTTAATCTATTGGTTATGTGAATTCTAGCGAAATGTCATGGCATTTTTTCTTGATAATATATTACTATATATCAACCATGTCATTTTGGTCATTCAAATTTAGGTGCTATTGAAATTTCGGACTCAAATCTATTTGTGAGGAGAGTTTATAGAAACATCAAATACGACTATCTTTTGATGAAGAAGCTAAAAGCATGACTCTACTGGTCCATTTGGTTGATATTGGAGGTGAGGTCAAGAAAATCTCATGAACCAATTATCATTGTGGGTGTCCAATGGGTTTAATTATGGTAGCCACTTCTGCTCGGATTTTGGGAAGCCCTGAATTTCTTTTTTGTCTGTGAAGAAGATCATTTATTTCCTCTGTACTTATATTAGAATGAAAGAGAATTTAAATGATTTAAGGCTAGCTTAATAAGAGTTTCAAATGTAATGTGGTTACCCTCCAATACTAGAGAATGAGGTGCCTTGAGATGAAGCTGCTAGTGCCACAGGCTTGATTTGTGCTGTGTAAATCTTTGTTGTTATAAATGTTATGACTATAGCTTTTATTATTAATAAAATTCTGAGACATGCTTATTTCTGCTTATGGTTCTTGCTTAATATGGTTTCGTAACCTTTGAAATAGTCCAAGTCATCTTTATTAAAAATGGCATTTACTGAATGGTATGATAACCAGAGCGTTGGTATTATGCTAAACATGAAATTGGTTATTCCATATCATACTAATATAACCTCTTTTTAGTTTTTTTTTTAAAAAGTATATTGCTGTTGAATCTAATTTGACGGCTAAATCTTTGACTGATAATAATATTATTAGTGGCCTAAATGCTTTACATGACTTTATTTTTGCGGCAATTAAAATGGATACAAGGATACAAAGCCTAAGGTTGAGGCTAAGAATAGTGTCAGTGAAGCCATATTAACCAAAGCGAAAGAAGCACCACCAATAGCAGCACAAGCACCAAACACTTGATAGTATGATAGTAAATAACAAATAAATCAGTTTAGCTAGGGACTATTCTACTGTCTATACGTTAAAGCTTCTTAATAATCATCTCCTTTTTCCTATACTATTTTAGTAAGACCAAAACTGGATTCATTAATCTTAATTTTTTAAGTTGTTATTTAAAGCATTGTTTTTGTGTCTTAGATAGTGGAGCACTATAGTACTATGAGATTCACTTCATTTAGTCGAAGTACGGGGTTTTTTATCTGAAGTTAGAACTTAGTAAGTAAAGACAAATATTTAATTTTTAATTGTGTAAAAGACTTTTCATTATTAATATAATACCAATTCTGATATGTTATTATCCATCGTAATAGTTCATAGTAAAATCGTGAAAGAAATTTTTACAAGTAGAGATTGATTTTCTTTTATATGCCATTACTTATTCAGCCATGTTTTAAGCAAATTAACTAGTAGGTTAATAAAGTGTCATTTATTTTTTCATTTTTTCTCCCCCCAAAGGCGGGAAATCCTTTTCACAGCGGCACAGACGCGTCTCCGTCGTTCCCGCCTTCTCTACAATAAGTTCCCGAGATGACTGTGAAGAACTCCATTCCTTGAGTTTTGCTATTTGGGTACCCTTTCGGCTCAAATGTCTGAGACAAGGTAATTTGTTGGTATTTTTTTGCTTTTTAATCGAAAGATATAATGGAAACCTCAACCAGAAAACCTAAGATTTGTGGCAGTACAAGTAAAGGGATTGATAGAATAAGTTCATTGCCAGATGATATCCTGCACAACATCCTTTCATCTCTCTTTATTTTTGATGTGGTTCAGTTGAGTTTATTGCCAAAAAGATGGAAGTATATATGGACTACTATGCCTTACTTGCACTTTGATCTTGATCGATTTTATTCACAACGGATCAATCGGCCTTGTAACTCGGAAATGGTGAGGAATTCAAGGACTTTATCAATTGGGTCTTAATTTACCAAAGCGCCACTAAACTTGTTCGGTTTCTTCTCTGTTGTGCCAATATCTTTGATAAGTTTGCTATTTTGCGGTGGATTCATGTGTCAACAAGGCGAAATGTTCAAGAGCTTGTATTAAGTTTTAATCTTGGTGAGCCATTTGAGTTACCATATTGTCTTGCAACTTGTGAATCTTTGCAAATTTTAAAACTACGCTTGTCCGGGAACATACTTAAACTGCCTAATCATTTGGGATTTCATCAGCTGAAACTGCTTCATCTTGAGGATGTCGAGTTGTCAGACGAGCATTTGACAAGTTGCTTGTTCTCAAAATGTCATCTCCTTGAAAGGTTGATCTTAGAGGAATGTGGTTTAGGAGCTATGGCTCTACTTGATATTGCTTCAACATCTCTTATTTATTTTACTTTAGTAAATGACAATCATTATGTGGAGAGTTACTGCAATTGGGAAGTCAAAATTTGTTGCCCCAATCTCAAGTTCTTCAAATATCAAGCTCCAATGCCAAAGGATATAATCTTCGAGAATCTCTTTTCAATAGAAGACGTTCGCATCTTCTTTATTGATATGAGTGGATCTCGTGAAGAAAATGGCATATATAAGCTGATCAAGGAGGTTCCTTCTACATCAGTTTTGAAGCTATGCAAGCCGACTATTTGGGTATAGTTCTCTCTTTAGGTTAAGCATAAAAGGGAAATAGAAGTATTAAAGAAATATAAAGTGTCAATACGTTGTTTGAATACTTAGATTGTATGAGCAACAGAGGCGGAGCTAGGATTTGAACCTTATGGGTTTGAGATTATAATCCTTTTAAGTTATTGGATTCTAAATTAATAATTTTTACATATTCATTGAATTTCTTAATACAAATACATGGTTTGAACAAAAGCTATTGGGTTTGGCTGAACCAACAACCATCACTGTGGCTTCGCCCCTAATGAGCAGTCTAAGTACTTATCAAAAAAATATACAGTCTAAGTATCTCTAAGTCATTGTAAGAGCTCGCTTGTAGCTTTTCAATTAATCTCTTAATTTCACAACTGATTATCGAAAAACACTCTCATTTCTTCTTTTTTGCTGCTGTAGGATCTTTATGAAGCGGTTCGCACAGTAAGACTCGCTCCAATCTCTTTTTATAAGCTGAAGATCTTAAAGCTGTATGTGGATGTTGATGAAGATTTCATGCAAGCTATGATATTATTACTCAAGTATTCTCCTAATCTAGAGGTTCTTAAATTGTGGTCTGATGAGGTAATGCCCGCCATCTTTTCATTGATTCTTCTGTACAAATTCCGTTTCTTTTATATGCTAGTTGGTTGGAAGTACTTGTAAGTATTGTAACTACACTTTACAAGGAAAAATTGACATATAATTCCAATGTCATTGCAATAATAAGAGGGCAGCCAACATTCATGGAAGGCCCGTGAAAGGGCCGCACTCCAAAGGGGTGTGATGTAGGCAGCCTTCCCTGATGCAAGAGTCAGTGACAACTTTACTATTGCTCCAAGGCCCCCCTTCAATTTCATTACAATAAGGCTAAACTGCAAACCTATATTCAAGTAAAAAGAACTGTACAAGCAAAATTCCACTCAACAAAATGATAAACATGCCATAATGAAAGGGATAAGATTTGACTAATGATCAATTTTAACTTTTAACATTCACTCTGGGAGTTGGCAAGTATCACCTATTGCTAATGCCATTGAACTTATTCATATCTGCTGCATGGAACTTAATGGTGGAAATAGATTTGAGCAGTAAATTGATGTGGGGAAACTCTGAGAACTGAGATGATGATACACCTTTAGGGAGCATTGACTTGATAAATGAAAGAAATTTGCAAATCTGGTCCTGAACAGTAGCTTGGCCCTGAAAATTGCCAGCATATTAGTCTAAATTTAGTCCTAAGCTGAGCTTTATTGCAAAGAGAGTACCCAAATGAATTCATTTCCCTTGTGCAGAAAAAAGATTCATGATGGACTCTGATAGATTCTAAAATTTGATCAATGCTAGAACTTAGGCGATGTGTGTTTCAAATGTTTTCATGAGAGCATAAGTATCACTTGGCTTAATGAGGGGATTGTTGTTTTAGATTACCTGAAATGTCGAAGATGTTGATTGGATGGAGTGACATGGTTTGTATAGTAGGTACTACACTGTGAAATATCTACAGTTTACTAGAACTTCTAATGCATCAGTGACGCCAAGTGGAAAATAGAACAAAGAGAAGGAAATGGTGCAAATCATTGTTAAAAGTGAATGTTTTTTGGCATTTTCACTTGTAATGGTGGAAATGGTTGCTTATGCTGCTGAATGATTGCTTATTTTTATTTATTGCTGTGTCAATTTGAGTGTTTACTGTGCTCGATGAAGTGGTTTCTCTTCTGACTCTGAACTGTCTGCTAGAATGGAGACTGGATTGAGAATTTGCAGATGCATGATCCTGATGAAATCATTGTGTGCTTGGAATCTCATCTAAAGTCAATTGAGTTGATTGGTTTCAAAGATGACGAAAACGAGATAGAACTAATAAGGTTTTTTCTGAAGAATGCACGGGTATTGGAAAAACTGACGATTGTTTGGGCCAGCTATGCTGATAGATCAGAAGAGACATCTACGGAGGTCTTGAAGTTTTCCTAGAACTTCTTCACACGTCGTTCTGAAATTTGTCGATGCCAAGCCCTGGCCCAAGCCAAGAACTCGGCACAATAGGTATTACAAATGACAGGACTTGGAAGAGGATTCATTGTTGGATGTACTCTTGTTGAGATTTTAATCCAAGTCAGAACCAGACTGTATGCAGAAACTTCAAGGGGTGTTTTGCTTTTCATGTTTGAACTGCTATGCAGGAGTAGTAACTACTGAGTCAGAACTCAATACTAGATTATCTTTATGAGATGTGGTATCTAACTTCAAAGTCCAATGCAGTCTTGAATTTCGACCTGAATTGAAGGCCAAAACTGCTTAGCCGAGCTGGTTCTAATTAAGTGTATTTTTAAGCCGTAGTGTTTTAAATCATCTGGATAAGAGGGGGTAGATTCAACACTTTCAGGTTCTCTACCTAAGATGCACTTACTGTATGTATTATATCCACAAATACCACGTCGGTGGGTAACAATTTTGAATGAGAATTTTTCCTTATAAAAGGAGGCCTAATGTTTAGGATTAAAACACACCTCTTATTTGCCTCCTCATTTTCTTAAGACATTTGTATCTTCTCTCTTTAGTATAATTTCACTTGTATTTTTGGAGTGGAATAAAATATTGGTTGTGTCCGAGAAAGTAGGCAAAATTGGTCGAACCTCGTAAATTCTGGTGTTCCTTTTATTGTTATCTTATTGTCTTATTTATTATTTAGTGATTGCCATAATTTTTGGTATAGTAGTTGTGACTCATTTACACTATATACATTTAACTTCCGCAACAATTGGTATCAGAGCCAAGGTATTGTCTAAGTATGCTCTGTGGTTGCAGCATAGTCTGATCTTCCACATTAGAAAAGATTTATCTTGGTAGTTGAGTCAAGGTTCTGTTTGAGTATGTTCTGTGGTTGCAACTTAGTCTGATCTTCCACACCAGAAAGGAAATAATCTTGAGTTGTGTCGTCAGTTATTAAATAATATTTGTATAAAAAATGAGAGACAATAAACAAGAAGAAGCTACATCAAGTGTCGATAATACGTCATCATTGGCATTTTCGCTTATGACAAAAAATTGTGTCAAATGCGAAATTTGCGGTAGAAATTTTTGACGGGTCATGACATTTTGGGATGTGACAAGGCGAGGTTCTAGATGTCTTTTTTCAACAAGGGTCGGATCTTGCCATTGAAGAAAAGAAACCAGATGTTATTGGAGAAGAAGATTGGAAAATTATCAACCGTGTTGCTTGCGGTACTATTCAATCCTACCTTGCTAGAGAGCAAAAATATCCATACACAAAGGAAACTTCTGCAAGTAAATTATGGAAAACACTGGAGGATAAATTTTTGAAGAAAAACAGTCAAAATAAATTGTACATGAAAAAGAGACTGTTTCGCTTCACCTATGTTTCTGGTACCACGATGAATGGCATATCACCAGTTTCAATAAGTTGGTCACAGATTTGCAAATATGGATGCAACTTTTGATTATGGTGACTTGACCTTGGTGTTGTTGGGGTTACTTCCTGATGAGTACGAACACCTTGAAACTACTGTACTCCATGGAAATGACGAAATTTCTCTCAGAAAAGTTTGTTCGACTTTGTACAACTATGAACAAAGAAAAGGAGAAAAACAGAAGGGGGGAGAAGGAGAAGCACTGGTTGTGAGGGGTCGTCCTCAAAATCAAACGAGGACAAAGAAGGGAAGATCCAAGTCAAGATCTAGACCCAGCAAAGATGAATGTGCCTTTTGTCGAGAAAAAGGGCACTGGAAGAAAGACTGTCCGAAGTTGAAGAATAAGGCCAAACATAACAATGGAAAGGCTATTATGGATTCAAATGTAGCTGATTGTGANAGATCCAGACCCAGCAAAGATGAATGTGCCTTTTGTCGAGAAAAGGGGCACTGGAAGAAAGACTGTCCGAAGTTGAAGAATAAGGCCAAACATAACAATGGAAAGGCCATTATGGATTCAAATGTAGCTGATTGTGATGATTTAGACTTCTCAGTAGTTACAACAGAGTCATTAACATCATCAGACATATGGTTGATGGACTCGGCTTGTAGCTATCATATGTGTTCCGATAGGGACTGGTTCGTGGATTTTCAAGAAAGAGAATATGGAGTCATCCACATAGCGGACAACAACCCTCTTACCTCATATGGGATTGGTTCAATACGATTAAGGAACAATGATGGAATGATCAGAACATTAACAAATGTTCGATATGTACCGGATTTGAAGAAGAATCTCATCTCTGTGGGAGTCCTAAAATCAAAAGGGTTCAAAATCATTGCAGAAAATGGAGTGATGAGAATATGCTCCGGTGCACTAGTGGTAATGAAGGTCAATCAGAAGAATAATAACATGTATAGTTATCGCGGTAGTACAGTTATTGGGATATTGACAGTGACATATAGTGACGACAAAGAGGCAGAAGCAACCGGGGTATGACACATGCGAGAGGAAAATCCTTGAAAACTCTATCAGATCAAGGATTGTTAAAAGGAGTAAAACTTGCAACTTGGAGTTTTGTGAGCATTATGTCAAAGGGAAACATACAAGGGTTAAATTTGGTACAACGATCCATGATACTAAAGGCATTTTGGATTATGTACACTCTGATGTTTGGGGTCCTTCCAAAACACCTTCATTGGGTGGGAAACACTATTTTGTAACCTTTGCTAATGATATTTCCTAAAGTGTGTGAGTGTATACAATGAAGAGGAAAGATGAAGTGTTGGGAATTTTTCTCAAATGAAATATGATGGTGGAGAATCAAACAGGCAAGAGGATCAAGTGTATTCTCATAGACAATGAAAGTGAATACAAAAATGATCATTTCAATAAGGTCTGTAAAAATGATGGCATCGTTCGACACTTCACTGTCAGACATACAACACAACAAAATGGAGTGGTAGAACGTATGAACCAGACCTTGCTAGAGAAGGTACGGTGTTTGTTGTCCAATGCTGGCTTGGGCAAAGAATTTTGGGCTGAGGCAGTTACATATGCATGCCACCTCATTAATCGTCTACCATCTGCCGCTATTGATGGCAAGACACCATTTGAAAAATGGTATGGAAAGCCCGGTGTAGATTATGACTCTTTGCACGTGTTTGGCTCAACTACATATTATCATGTGACATAGTCAAAATTGGATTCAAGGGCAAATAAGGCTATTTTTATGGGGATTATTTCTGGAGTCAAAGGATATCACTTATGGTGTCCTATGACAAAGAAAGTAATATTCAGTAGGGATGTTATCTTTGATGAATATGCTGTGGTAAATAAGGTAACAGAAGATACCAAACAAAATGAGGGTGCTTCTAAGCAGGTGGAGTTTGAGGGAAAATTTATTTTTCCTACACAAGAAGCAGAGGAGGAAACAAATGAAGATTATCCTCTGGAAGAAGAGCCAGTAGAGAGGGAGGATCCAACTCAGGAACCTTAACAACAACTTGAATCAATAGCAACCAGCAGGCAAAAAGGACAATAACAAAACCTGTTTGTCTTATAGAGACAGTTGCTTCCTGCAACCTCAATTGTAGCTGATGATGTTCCTACTACTTATAAAGACGCTGTCCAAAGTTCAGAAGAAGATAAGTGGAGGATTGCCATGAATGATGAAATACAGTCCCTTCATCAGAATCATACATGGAGATTGGCCAATCTCCCGAAGGGAAAGAAAGCAATTGGGTGCAAATGGGTATTTGCAAAGAAGGAAGGATTTCCTAACCAAGTAGATGTTCGCTACAAAGCAAGATTGGTGGCCAAAGGATATGCTCAAAAGGAGGGAATTGATTACAATGAAGTGTTTTCTCCAGTTGTAAAACATTCCTCCATTAGAATTATGTTGGCTTTGGTAGCACAATTGGATTTGGAACTAGTTCAGATGGATGTAAAAACTGCGTTTTTACATGGAAACTTGGAGGAGGAAATCTACATGACTCAGCCAGAAGGATTCAAAGTTGCTGGAAAAGAAAATATGGTGTGCAAACTTGAAAAATCGTTGTACGGATTGAAACAATCTTCTAGACAATGGTACAAGCGATTTGACGAGTTTATGTTGCGGCAAGGGTACAAGAGAAGCAAATACGATCATTGTGTGTATTTGCACAAGCTTAAAGATGGTTCCTTTGTATATCTTCTCCTATATGTTGATGATATGTTGATAGCTTCCAAGAATTCGGAAGAAATTGATAAGTTGAAGATTCAACTGAAGAAGGAGTTTGAGATGAAGGATCTGGGTGAGGCAAAGAAAATTCTTGGCATGGAGATAATAAGAGATAGACGTTCAAAGAAACTCTGTTTATCTCAGAAAGAATATTTGAAAATAGTACTACAACGTTTTGGCATAGATGAAAAGACTAAGCCAGTTAGTACTCTACTTGCTCCCCATTTTAAGCTAAGTACTACTATGTCGCCAAAAGATGAAGCTGAACGAGAGTATATGTCAAAGGTACCATACACAAATGCTGTTGGTAGCTTGATATATGCAATGGTCTTTATGAGACCTGACATTTCACAAGCTGTTGGAGTTATTAGCAGATATATTCATAATCCAGGAAATGAGCATTGACAAGCTGTAAAGTGGATTCTACGGTATATTCATAATACTGTAGATGTTGGGTTAGTTTTTGAGCAGGAATGCAATCAGTCTGTAGTTGGATATTGTGACTCAGATTTTGCGGGTGACCTGGACAAACGAAGATCAACTACTGGTTATATGTTTATTTTTTGCAAAGGCACCAGTTAGTTGGAAGTCTACTTTACAATCAACAGTTACTTTGTCTACAATAGAGCCAGAGTACATGGCTATTACAGAGGCTGTGAAGGAGGCAATTTGGCTTCAGGGGTTGCTAAAGGAGCTTGGTATTGGACAAAAAAATATCACAATTTTTTTGTGATAGTTAAAGTGCTATTCAATTAGCGAAGAACCAAGTTTATCATGCAAGGACGAAGCACATTGATGTTCAGTATCATTTCGTACGAGAAATCACAGAAGAAGGTGGAGTCACGGTGAAGAAAATTCATACTACGGAGAATCTTGCTGATATGCTGGCAAAAGTGGTGACTGCGGTCAAGTTTCAACATTGTTTATCAACATTGTTGAACACTAAAGATTGAAGATGAAGACACAATCAAAATTTGTTATTGAGAGAAAATTGAAGATGTGGAATTTTGCCAAGGTGGAGTTGTTGAAATTGTCAAAAGTCCCACATCGGTGAGTAACAATTTTGAATGAGAATTTTTCCCTATAAAAGAGGCCTAATGTTTAGGATTAAAACACACCTCTCATTTGCTTCCTCATCTTCTTAAGTCATTTGTATCTTCTCTTTTTAGTATTATTTCACTTGTATTTTTGGAGTGAAATAAAATATTAGTTGTGTCCGAGGAAGTAGGCAAAATTGGTCGAACCTTGTAAATTCTGGTGTTCCTTTTATTGTTATCTTATTGTCTTATTTATTATTTAGTAACTGCCATAATTTTTGGTATAGTAGTTGTGACTCATTCACACTATATATATTTGGCTTCCGCAACAG